AGAAACCCATATGAGGACTACCTTATTAGTAAATCACATTGTTTGTGTTTCCAGTTTTAATAACATTTTGAGCACAAAATAACTACAGAAAAATACCTTATTTGACTTTTGATGGGAATGAATGGTGTTGCAATTTACAAAGATACTTTTAGTGAAATTAATACAAATGTAGTTCCAAGTTGTTTCTTTTAAGTTTAAGTCTGATTTTAATAAAATCTTGTTACCAGTGGAAGATTTCTGGTTATTCCAAAGTAAACGTAAAGGAATGAAATCAATGAATGATTCATAAGTTGCCTTTAAAAATTTTATTGTGAAAACTCACTCTTACTCTGTTTTAATTTGCCTTGTAGAATGTAATGGGACACTACTGGCTCCCCTCCCATCTCTGGCTGGTGAAGACATCACATGTTACCTCCCCAGCTCTTGTTCAGCTGTACAGTGTTGTATAAATGTCCCTGTCATCAGCACCACATTTCACACGAGACTAGAAGTAGATCCTTGTAATTTTCTCATGACGGTTGAGGTAGAACAACTTAAATTCACCAGAAAACTGTTTGATTATGAGTGGGGAGTGGAGGAGCAAGTCTGGCTATTTGGTGTGGTCAGAATGACGTATGTTAAAACTTATATACACTGTATAGAATACAGAAAAAAATATTATAGCAAAAATAAAATATCAAAAGATACAATCAAGACTATATGTAAGTTTGCATTTGTGTTTGCTTTTCCCTCCATAATTTCTTACTACCTTTCTATACATGTCATCAACATCTACAATGGCCATAGAATTAAAGCTTTAGGAAGATAATTCTACAATGATTTTTCTTTGCTATTCTGAAATGCTTCTGAACAAAGCTGAAATTTGATACATGTGGGGAAAAAAACCCTGAAATCTATATTCTGGATAATTATGCAATATCTGTACAAGATATTCAGATATATGAACAATAAAATTCTGTTTTTCAAGAGTAAATCTGTATGTTATATTAATTAAACATATAACTTTTTTCAGATTCAGTGTGTTCGATTTATATACTAAAGGATATTTCATAGTGAATCTGAATCTTGAAGTTTGCTTAGAGGCTGCAAAAGTACCTTTTTGTGAAGTAGCTATTCAGCCCTTGAGAGGCTATTATCTTCCAAAGAAAATTTGTGAATGGAATGCACCTTTTAGCATAAAAGGTATATCAACTGAATTCTTTCATAATAATCCTATTAAAACTTTCTTTAAAAAAAATTAATGTGGGGGCTCAGAAATTAAACGAAGTGGGAATTTTTTTGTGACACAACAGCCAGACATGCTTTTCAACCGATGTTTGCAAAACAACCTCATCAATGCAGGCCCGCCTGTGTTAAAAATTATAAGGAGTTGTTTTGACAAATCGAAGTTTGAACATAATGAGATGGCAAATGATAAAACAAGATAATTTTCAAGGTCAACAGGGGAAAAAGATGCTTGTGAACATATTAAAGAATATTGGGAATAAAAATTTCCTTGGATTAAATAAAATGATTAAATGTATTATGAAGCGAAGTCTACTTAATATCTGAATTGCACTTGTTTATAACATCTGGGGGAAATCATCTGGGAGTTTTAAAACCAAGATTTAACATAATTTCTTCAGTATGAAATACCTGTTGATTTCAGGGTTTTCACTGGCTGCTTGGCAGATTGTTGAAGGTGTTGCCAACACGGTACCTATAGATAGCAGTGTGGTTGATAATCTTCTCTCTAATTTGAATGTAGCAGCACTTATGTATTATCCCTCCTGTGCATGGACAGACATTGAGTATTCCAGTTCTACCACAAACTTGCAAACCTGTAAGTTTATATACTTTTGATATTCAATAATTTTAGCATTTAACATTAACGAATTCATTAGTTTTGCAACATTCTTATGCCCCCGTAATTGAAGATTCAGGAGTATATAATATTTGTCGTGACCGTCTGTCTGTCAGTCTGTCTTGCTGTTTCTCTGTCTGTCTGTTAGTCTGTTTGTCCGCAAAAACTTTAACCATTCCATACTCTTTGATTAAGTGGAGCTATGACTTCCTAATTTCAAAACTTGACCTTGGAATTTGACCCAGTTTTTGAATGGTAAAGGCTAGGGCTTTCATACTTAACATATGTAATTCTTGTGAAAAGTCCCTTCATTGGATACCAAGACCTTGAAATTTGACCCACTTTTAAACAAAATTTCCAAACTTTTTCTTTGGTTCATAAGTTTTGAACGGTAAACACCAGGAGTTTTATACTTTATATATGTATTTATATATGTATTTTTGTGGCAAGACCTTTTATTGGATACCAGCAACCTTGACTTTTTGACCTTAAACTAGGAGATTTCCGTACTTATGAAAAAAACTCTAACCTTGGCAATAACTTTTGAATGATAAGTACTAGGGCTTTCATACTTCACATATGTAATCCTTGTGAAAAGTCGCTTCATTGAATACCATGAACTTTGATTTTAACCTTATACTTTAATCTACGTTTAAAAATCAGACCTTGACCATAACTTTTGAAGGGCAAGTGTTTTCATACTTTATATATTTAATCCTTGTGACAAGACCTTTTATTTGATATCAAGAATTCGACCTTGACCTTAGAGTTGACCTACTTTTAAAATATTTTTAACCTTGGCAATAACTTTTGAACGGTTAGGGCTAGGGCTTCTATACTTCACACATGTAATTCTTGTGACATTAGACCTTTCATAAACACATTTTGTTTTAAAAATTAAATTTCAGTAATGCTTCATCCTTAATACACATGTACAATTAAGAACTGATACAAGTTTCAGCAGTGTCAAAAATCCATTATCTTGAGGAGAACAAAACACCTATACTAGAACGATTGATTTATTTATTGTTAAGCTGAATTTCATAAATGTTCATTTATCCTCAGACTGTCCTGTGTCAGTGCAGACATCTCTCTCATCAGTTGCTGATCAAGCTCTGTGCACTGTTTCCTCATCTTGTACCAACATTAAGTGCTGTGTCAATATCCCACTCCTTAACAGGACATTTGAGGTAGGAATGGAGCTGGACTACTCCTACTACTCACTGAAAGTGAATGTGGAGAAGATGACCAGGAGACAGTCTCTTATTGGATACACATTTGGAAAAGAAGAAACACTGAGTGTACAGGGAGTTTTCAAATTTATGTAAGAATTAAGTGTTGTTGTACATATATAAACAGTGACTACACATTATATTATAAATACTTGCTTGTTATGTATATACATGTTACAGGAATTTTGAATTTTATGATTTAGATATGAAGTGAATGATTTGGTAGATGGGAATCTTTTGGATATAAGTTTGAAGGCAGAAGCTTGCTTTAGTGATGGTGGGACATGTGCTGTCAGTATTCCTATTTTAACTAATGCTCTGATACCAAAGAGGAACAGGAAATGGTCAAATCAGTATACTATCAAAGGTAGGTAATTATCTAAATTGAATTTATGGTTTTAAAATAACTTTTTATAAAGGTGTTGTAAGGTAAGCTGCATTTCATTTCTATAAATTGTTGCAATATTCAACTTTTCATTTAGACATTTTATAGTTTTCATTTCCGATGTTTTAAGTTAACTTCTCCGAAATGTATCATAACGTATTTTTATGGCAAATTAAAAATAGAATTCAAGACTTTTCTTATAAGATATTTTAAAGAAATAATTTGACACCCACCATAAATATTGCGCAGTCACCAACATCAAGGATATGGAAATATTACGAAGGTAATATCAAAGTCCATAAAACAATACAAAATAGGAGCAGATCAAACACGGTTCTCGAAATTAACAGGCGTCGGATCAGGTGCCATGGAGGAGTGAGTATCCCCTGCCGATCAGTCACACCCCCCGTGTGCTCCTTGTCATTTTCGGGAAATAACGGAAAAATCCGTCTACAATTCATTGTATAAATTATGGACTAAAATCAGTCTGAAAAACGTCAGTAAGCATTTGATTCAATCATAAATCGTATTTGGTGACTCATTGTATCGACCATAGAACTTACGAAATAATGACTTTAAACGAGACTGCTGATATTCTTATTTCATCAACTTATTTGTCAATAATTCAGGGGTATTTGAATTTGGTAAACAAAACATGCATAGTCATTTAATTCAATGCTAAACTTTAAATTGGACTTAGTGCCGCATTTATATGGTGTATTGTGGTATTTTTATTAGGAAAATGTGGTTTGAACTAAGTTTAATATTACGTCAGAGTTCACAAATGTAAACATTCTGAATGTATTCAAAATCATTCTAAAACCAAAAATTGTATTGGAAGAGCACAGAAAGCTCATTTTTAGATAGCAGTTGCTGATGAAGAAGTTTGTCATGATCACATACCATATGATTTTAACAGATCAAAGTCACATGACTCAGTTTTTAGGTCACCTGAGTAAACTCAGGTGACCTATTGCTATCCGTTTTCGTCCGTCGTCGTGCGTCGTTCGTCGTTCGTCGTGCGTCGTGTTAACATTTGAACATTTTCAGTTTCTTCTCTGCAACCACTCAACCAATTTCCACCATATTTTACACAAAGCATCTATGGGTGAAGGGTAACAACAATTGTGAATTTCATGGTCCCTGCCCCCCTTGGGCCTGTGGGGTGGGGCCAAAACCACTAAAATTAGTGCAATCTTTAAAAATCTTCTTCTTTACTCCTGGACATCAAGCAGTCAAACTGTTAGCATGAATGTAATGACCATTGAGTCCTTTACCAAAATTGTGAAATTCATGGCCCCAGGGTCAGGGGTTGTAGTGCTAGGGCGGGGCTCTATTGATTATATAGTGAAAATGCATTATTTCTATAAAAATCTTCTCCTCTGCTCCTGGGTATTAAATAAACTAACTAAAGACATAATTATGATGAGAAAGAATCCCTTTTGCAAAAATGTGAATTTCATGGCCCCAGGGTCAGGGTTCTAGTGTAAGGGAGGGGGGGGGGCTCTATTGATTATATAAAGAAAATGCAGAATTTGTTTGAAAATCTTCTTCTCTGATCCTGGGTATTCAAAGAATTAACTAAGTATATAGTTATGATGAGCAAGAATGTCTCTTCCAAAATTGTGAATTTTATGGCCCCAGGGTCAGAGGTTCTGGTGTTAGGGCGGGGCTCTATTGATTATATAGAGAAAATGCACAATTTGTTTGAAAATCTTCTTCTCTGCTGCTTGGTATTCAAGGAATTAACTTAGTATATACTTATTATGAGCAAGAATGCTTCATCCAAAATTGTGAATTATATGGCCCCAGGGTCAGGGGTTCTGGTGTTAGGGCTCTATTGATTATATAGTGAAAATGCATTATTTCTTTTAAATCTTCTTCTCTGCTCCTGGGTATTAAATAAACTAACTAAAGACATAATTATGAGGAGAAAGAATGCCTTTTGCAAAATTTTGAATTTCATTGCCCCAGGGTCAGAGGTTCTGGTGTAAGGGGGGGGGGGCTCTATTGATTATATAGAGAAAATGCAGAAATTGTTTGAAAATCCTTTTCTCTGCTGCTTGGCATTCAAGGAATTAACTTAGTATATAGTTATGATGAGGTAGAATGCCTCCTCCAAAATTGTGAATTTTTATGGCCCCAGGGTCAGGGGTTCTGGTGTTAGGGTGGGGCTCTATTGATTCTATAGAGAAAATACATTATTTCTTTTAAAATCTTCTTCTCTGTTCCTGGGTATTAAATAAACTCAAAAAGTACATAGTCATGATGAGGAAGAATGCCTTTGTGAATTTTATGACCCCAGGGTCAGGGGTTCTATTGTTAGGGTGGGGCTCTATTGGTTATATAGAGAAAATGCAGAAATTGTTTGAAAATCTTCTTCTCTGCTCCTGGGGATTAAGCAGATGAACTACCTATATAGCTATAATGAGCAAGGGCCATTCTTCCTGAATTGTGAATTTCCACACCCCTGGGTCAGGGGTACCATAGAGGGGGTGGGGGCTCTACTTATATACTGAAAATGAATTAATTGATTGAAACTTTCTACTTTGTATTTATCAAATAGTTTTGATAAGCAAGAGTGCCTTTTCCAAAATTGTGAAATGTGTGGACCAGGGGTCAGGGGTTCATGTATGGTAGTGGCACTATATTGATTTTTGCAGAATATTATTAAAACATGAACCAATGTCAATCATTGTAAACTTGTTGCATGATGCTCAGGTGACCTATAAGGCCCGTGGGCCTCTTGTTTTTTTTGTCCATGACATTTTTAAGACTGGATTGCAAATGGTTATGACTTACGTACTCACAACCATAAGTGTTGCCATCTTTGATCAAGTACATGTCAACAAGATCCAGGCTATTGGAATTTGCAATATATGCACATATTTCAGTTTTATAGCGAGATTAATAAAGCTTTTTAAAAAATGCTCTTTTTAAAGCTGCCCGATTAAAGGGGATGGTGTGTAAGTTATATATTATGTCATACCGTGATAAGTCCTAGATTCTCTGTATAGGGTTTGGATTTAAATGAATGGGGTTGTTATGGCTACTGAAAATTATGTATTTCATCTGCTGCTTAAAATTTACTTTATCATCAGCAAATCAAATTATATTTGCATGATGCCTGTCTAAACCTTTTTGTCTTATGAAAAGGGTATATGTACGTGTTGAAGACCAGTAGAGGTACGAAAATAATAGAAATGTTTGTGATTTTATTTGAGTTTAATACAGCTTAGGTAAATGAAGACATCCTCTTATGCTTTGCTATGTATAATAACATTCCTAATGTTCCTTTGCCAGCTGTTGATATTGTTATCATAAATTTACAGATTTTTCATTAAGTCATTGGAAGACGGAAAAAATGGTTGCTGGAAATTTAAAGCAACACCATATAAGTGAATTGTTAGAGATGCTAAGTCTACAACCATATATGAGGGCAAATTCTTGTAGCAGACACAATCCACCATATAATACTGCAGGCTCTGATGGATGGGTCAATGGTATGTGCTTTTAATTTTATATTTGATGATTACAAAACATTTCTTGAAATATATGATTATAAAAACACCAAGTAAATAAAACTCGAGATAAAATTGTAAAACTAAGAAATGTGTACATGCATGTGTCATGCTGTCTTCAAGTATACAATAATATTTCATAGTCATGAATAAAATGTAAATTTTGTAGGCTGTACACTTTTAAACAACACAATGTCCCTGAATTCTCATCCTCTGACTTGTAACCTTGACAACTCCTGTACCAGGGTCACCTGTTGTGTTGACTCACCTGTTATCAACTCTACCTTTGAGGTTTTTATGGACATTGATCCTTGTACTAGAATGCTGTTCCTCAGGATAGAGAACTTGAAGGCCCAAATTCCTTTCAAGGATATCAAGTGGGGTAGGTTTTGAAAAATATTTTGGTAATAGTCAGATTTATCGTAAAAGAGAGAAATTGAATTCATTTGCAAAAAAGATTAACTGTAAAATGATTTTTTTTATTAGAGTCCAAGAACAATTTCCATCTCTTCAATGTGATTCGCCTTGAGTAAGTACTTTAGAAACATTATAATGATAAATGAAATACTTTTAGTGTGAAAACCATATTTGATGGTATATAAAAGAACATTGATTCATGGTGATTGTAATTAATATTTTTCTTCACAGATACACCATCTATGACTTGTACTCTCAGAATTTCTACTTGGTTGACTTACAACTGTCTGTCTGCTGGGAAACATACAAAGACTGTGTCTTTACTGCAACTGTTTTGCAAAACACATTCCTACCAAAAAGACATTGTGTAGAGAAAATGAATTTTGAGATTCCATGTTAGTAATTCTGCTCAAAATGGGATATATTTTTTGCATTTTCTTTTATTTTCTAAATTCAATTTGGAAAGGAAAGAAAGTTGATCTTTGTTTTACATATTTTACAGCCTTTTCCCTGACATCCTATGGTGTAACTCATGGCCTGGACCTGGACAATCTTTCTGAAGCTGATTTGACATATCTCTTTAATAACCTGGCTATATCTAGTTACCTGTCCCCTGACATGTGTAACAGGACAAGTGAATTATACCAACCTGCAAATGATGGCTGGAAAAACGGTAAGTTTAATAGGAGGTGGAGGAAACATTTAGCGCGAGTAGAAGAGGAAACTACTTAGGGTTGTCAATCTTGACTTTGGTATCTTAGCATCAACTATAAGCTGGATCAAGTGAGTTTTATGTCATTTATCTCTCATTGTACACTTTTTACATTTCCATCTTCTACAAAGTTACTTGGCCATGTTTCAACCAAATTTGATACTCTTGAGGAAAGAAAAAAAATACAGTCCAGTCTTCATATATGGACCTCAGAAGAGCCGAGATATGGAAATATGGAGGTTATGATTCACAAAGAAAAAATAGTTCACTAATATATTTTTGGTATTGAAGAAATTGATGTTAAATATAGCAAAATTTAAAAGTAGGCAGGGTGCACTTGTGCAAAAGATTAAAAAAAAAGATCATTCTTTAAAGCAAAGATTGGTAATGAGATGTGATTTTTGTTAAGAACCTTTAAGGTAGCAAAATCAGTCTTGCTGAACATCAGTAGGTACATGAGTTTTGTGACAGCGTTGCATTTGTGAATAGCAGATACAAATGTATCTTATCTATGTTGCTATATTTATAAAAGATGAAGGTTACTGAGTGGAAAGCATGAAGTTTGGTCAAGTATCATTTCGTGAAATTGCTCACAGTATATCTCTTGTGTCATACATGTATTAAATGTGCATCTTTTCTTAACTGCAAAAGAGATGTACATGTAGCTTATAAGTCTTACATAAAATATTTATACTAGAGTGTCCGAAGGCTGCTGTTCTTGCCACACTGCCTGGTAATGTGAACTGTCACATGACTTCAAACTGTACCAGAATTAGCTGTTGTATGGAGGTTACTAGGCTTATGTCCCGCCCTGTGACCTTTCACCTATCAGTGGATAGTTGCAGTTGGATGATTGGTTATGGAATTGACAGCTTCATTGTAAATCCTTTCGTTATGTCGGATTTTGCGTTCGATGTTTGGCATGAGTTCTGGATGAAAGGAATATTCCGTTTGAAGTAAGTATCATTTATACACTACCATGTGCAGGGTCAGTTTGTTGATTTTATAGATAATCCTTTCCTATCAATTTATTTCCTCATAAACTATAACTTTATCAGCCCTTTTATTATAGAATCCTCTGTGTATACAAATTATTCACAAGATCAAGATCTCAGAAACAAATTTTGATATCAAATGGTTACTGCCCCCCCCCCCCCCTTGCAGAAGTTAAAATGATTCCGCAGTATCTTAAGTATTCTAAAATAGACGTTACACTGGCCTGTTTTCATATCATCTTAACTGCTTTGAAGAAAGATGTTAAGAGTCCTTGAATTGCTGTTTGGTAATTTAATTGACTGGATGGAAGGTTGTTTTAGAGTATCACATTTCTGTGTTAATGCATTACTTAACTTTGTTCTGTACCACTTTTTTAGATTCTCCATCACTGATCTTCAAGCAATAGATCAATTTCGAGTCAGCCTTAAGATCATGGCCTGCTTTGAGAGCGGAGCTGCTTGTGATCAGGAGGTTGTCATACTCAACAATACTCTACTGCCTAAAAGAAACTGTGAAGTGGTCCTAGGAACACCAATGAAAGGTATTTTTTTTTAAAGAGGTATTTCTAAAATCTTTTGATATTTGTATTAGATAATACTGACATGCTTTGAAAGTCAAATTCCTTACAATAAATTAATTTGTTTTAAAATTTGATATGTCTTTTATTCATGTTTTATGAATAACAATTAATTTTTGCTTGTAGATTTTTCAATTGGTCAATGGAAAGCAGAGAAAATGGTTACAACAATGAATGAATACAGTATAGCTATTTTAGAGGAGGAATTAGGAATGTTTGGATACATGTTTAACAAAACGCAAGCTTGTGATAGATCAACCACATTTTCCACTTCATCTGGATGGACTAACGGTATTTTTAACAAAAAGTTTTTATTTGCTGCGCATTGTATTGTGAGTTGTGAATCTGAGTTTTCATACTTGTCAGCATTCTTAAATAATTTGTTTTTTTTAGATTGCCCAAAGACTTTAACGTCATCTTTACCCTACATTAATGGTCCATTTTCTTGCAATTTGGGATCATCCTGTTCTGAAATCACCTGCTGTGTGAATGCTAAGCCAATCGCAAGACACCTGACATTTACAGCTAATCTAGAATTCTGTGGAGACAAAATCACAATTGCTATAGACAAATTTCAACTAGAAACAAAAATCAGCAAAATAATCTCTACAGGTGAATAATGAAGTTCTTGAGAAAAACTTAAATTTGTGCTTTGGCAAGAATTTGGTGATATACGAGGGGTGATCAAAAAGTTCGCGAACTATCTCTATATCTACAAAACCACATTTCAAATTAAAAACAAAAATTGGTACACACGTAGCCATACACAAGTTCTATAAATAGCATATGCTGAATCAAGTTTTGCCCCTTGATTGTGACGTCACAATGTGAAAATGACGTCACCATGCAGGTCACTTGTGACAAAAAATGGTTGTCTCACTCGTTCTCGTTTAACAAACGACTGTCGAATTCATGGTACATCTAAGGATTCCCTTTAAAGAAGCGCATAATAATTTGTACACATTTTAACAAAATAAATGACTTCCTATAAATTCAATCAATGATTGGATTTGTCGTTTTAGTGAAGGAAGGCAGATGGTTTAAAATGATATTTTTTTTGTTGACCAGTGAAAGCAAATTTGAAAAGAGATGTGTTTTTAATTAAGCAATTTGCTATCAAAGACCTCCAATTTACACTTTGAAAAATAGTTGAATATTTCAACAATAATATAATGATTAAATACCTATGATATCGTTAACTTTAGAATTTAAACATATTAGATATGATAAAAAGGAGACATCCATTCTCTATTTATTCTGTACCAGAGGCAGAAGATTTGAGTATTGATGGTCGCCATACTTAATTTTGGAAAGGAAATTCTTATCCACCCATTCTATTTCAGAGATTTGATCATTTCTGACAAATGAACTGTTTTTGCTATAAAAATTAACTTATTTGGAAAGAAATACAAAACTCTGAAAAATATTTCAGCGTTTGTGACAGAACGCTACGGAGGGGGTCACATGACCGCCTATATCACGTGATTCGCGCATGGGCAGAAAGGTGGCAGATGTGCATTAAATCGGAGAGGTTTAATTTAAAATATAATCAACACTTAAACCAAATATTGTTTCTTTTCTGGAAGTTATTAAATTAGTTCGCGAATTTTTTGATCACCCCTCGTATATTCAGTACAATATGACATCAATGTTAAAATAATTCGATAAGATTTTATACTTAAGGATTTCCGTCCCTAATAGGACCAAACTCTAAACCTTTAAATGTCCGACAAGTACATAATACTCTGATATTAAATTAAAACATTTTATAGTTGAGTCCTAGAGAAAGGTTTAAAAATTTCGATAACTAGGCAGTATAGTAGTTCATTAACAAAGATTGCATTGAAGTCTATGGAGTCTATGGAGAATTTTTTTTTAATAAAAATTCAAATAATATGAATTTCAATAAATACTTTGGAATGATACATTGAAACATAAAAATAGAATGACAATAGAAAACATTTTATTTATTTTTTTCAACTGATTTTTTATTGATTAGAAATAGAATGAGATAACTCTTACAAAAGTTCAAGGTCATAAATTAGCTAGGACACATCCTAATGTTACTTGCAAATAGTAATAAATGGGATTTATGTCTAATTATACTGAGTATTCAACACCTACATACATGTATCTGTTATTTAACTTAATTGAATCTGTTGCTATTAGGGAATGAATACCTTAAAACATTGTGTATCTTTGAATGTTTTATATATAGTTATATAATGTTCTCATGCATTTAAATGATTGTTTTTCATCTATTTCCAGTACGATGCCAAGAAACAGATTTAAAGAATATTTTTAAATAATGCATTTTAAGTGAATTAAATAATAAGCAGGATATTTAGTTCTGAAAAAAATCCTTAAACTTCTCCTTTTAATTTTTTTTTTTTTTTTTTTTTTTTTGGTTACAGGAAAAGAAGAATCTCTGAACTTCAGTGGAATTTACCAGTTAAAGTAAGTTGGTTGATTATGCTAGACAAATTATAAAGTAAAGAACATGTTGAGTTCCTTCTGACTATAACCAATAAATTTATTTGATGTAGCAAGTTTACTAGTGGATAATTATACATATCAATATCTAAGTGTGTGGCTATTTTCCTAGAATATATGTGGAAGACCTTGCTAACTCTAACCTATACCTAGTCAGCCTCTCTCTCTCAGCATGCTGGAATGGAATTTATTCCTGTGAGGAGTACACAATTTTATCCAATAATAGACTTCCAAAGTCTTTGTCTCAGCCATACTGTAACTGGCAGGGGATGTATGCGGACCCAGGTAAGTGAAAACATTCTAAAATATTACTAATTCGTATATGTAGTATATGGGGATTGATTCACTTTAGTTACATATTTATAAAAAAAAAATACGTGTTGTTTTTTGTTTGTTGTTTTCAGTTGTTAATTAACATTTGGAAAATTTCATTCCTTCTCTGAAACGGATGAACCAATTTTGGTAGATCATTTTTGAGTAAAGGGGGAGAAAATTTGTAATTTTCATGGTCACTGTCCTCCATGGGGCCTTAGATTGGGGCTCATAGCAAACACACACAATCTTTCAATATCCTCTTTCTTGATTTGAACATCTAGCATCCAAACTGGTAACATATTAACGTTACTGCATTAGCATTGACCCTTCTACCAAAATTGTGAAGTTCAAACCCCAGAGATGGGTTCTAAAGTTAGAGTAGGGCTCTATCAATCATATATATTAAAAAAATATATAAATTCTTTAAAATGCCTCTTTTCTTCCCTGCCGTTGAACTAAATGTGCAGTAGGTTGAGTAAGAGTGCTTCTAAATGTGAAATTCACAACCCATGGTCAGGGTTTTTTGTGTTAGTGTTTGGCTCTATCGATTACTTAGTGAAAATTCATTAATTGCTGGCGATTTTAAGAAAAATATCCGAAAAATTTACAGATTTAAAATCAAAATGCATTTTGTCATCGAAACCTAGTCAAAAAATATAATATCACAACTCCCAGTGGCCTAAAGATTGTGCCTTAGTAATTTGGGGTGAAAAGGTCAAGGTAAGAGACTCATACATCATGTCTGTGTACATTCACTTATGTTTCAATCTATACTTTTATTAATATTTATTAATTTAGCCTCGGATGATATTTGGTGCTTTTGATTGGTAGAGGATGTGAAAATGGCATGTATCAAAAGCACCACAAAAAGTTTCATCTCTTCTCAGAATCAATAAGATTTTAATCTAGGGGAATCAATCTTTACATAGCAGGCATGCATATTATTGCAATAGTGATTTGAAGTGCTGATTTTTTACTAAGGTCTTCCGTCTCCAACGGAAGACCTTCTACTGATTCTGTTGTTTCTTTTCCACTATTATTATTATTATTTTTTTCTTACCGATTTTGTGCAGACGATTTCTCGAGAACGCCTCGACAGTTTTTCATGAAACTTTCAGCAATGATAGGAAACTTTTGGAACTTTATTCTTTTTTTTTATTTTGCCGTCGTCACTTCCGGTCGCGAGAAATGGCCATTTTTCTGTTTTTAAAGTGTCATTTTGTCCGAGAGTGTTCTCGAAAACGGTTGGAGTTTGGGTCCTGAAACTTTCAGGGATGATAGATTATGACTCCTAAATTTGAGAAGGATACATATAGTTTTTGTTGCCGTTGCGTCCGTCGTCCACCGGAAATAGTTTAAAAATATGCAAAATTTTATTTTTTTCCTTTTTTAAATGTTTCTTATGGAGGCAAATAGAGTTTCTCGAGTAATATTATGTCCACCGGAAATTATTCTTTCCAAACCGGAAGTAGTCCAAAAAATGAGCATTTTTCCTCGAAATGATCAGGGATGATTCCTTCACACTCAGAAAGGAGTTATAGGTCATTTTAAGTACTTCCGGTCACACCGGAAGTGAATTATAAAGACCGGGAGTTGTTTGAAATTGATAGATGTCACTCCTAAATGTGTTTTCACGTATTTTGAATAATTGATCTGAACACTTTTTTTCATTTGAAGTTGTTTTATAACCTTATCAAAAATCGAACGGAAGACCTACTCTTTGCTCGCAACGAGATCTCATCTAGTTATCTTTCTTTTCATGTTGCTTAGGTTTTACACTGACCTCTTGGTTAACCTCCATGGGATATCCTGACACCGCTCCACTGACAGGTGTACCATTACAGGACCTGATGGAGCATCTCAAACTTAACAGGTTCAAGGGAGATGACTGTGACAAAACATCGGTTTTACATATGCCAAGTAATGGTACTGGATGGAACAACAGTATGTTCTTTAGAATATAATTTCTTTATATGACACTGTAAATTTGATCTAAGGTCTGATGGTATAATTGAAATGTTTACTTCTCTTTCTCCTTGTAGCTTGTGCGAGTCCCCCAGATTTGGTGCCCCTGCCCAGTACACTGACCTGTCACCTGCCTAACTCCTGTACAGGACTGGACTGTTGTGTGTCCAGCACAAAGTTAGGACAGAGCTTCAGAACTTACTTAGATATTGATCCTTGTACATCCAGGATCACTTTGGGTATTGACAACTGGAGGTTTACAGAACTATCAAAGGAATCCATTCAGATGCTGGACACTGGTATGAGTTTAGATCACCTGAGTTGTGTGAAATTGTTTTGAATGTTCTCAATGGATTCTTTGAGCTGACAATGTCAATTTTAGTAAAAAGGCAACTTTTAATGAAGGGAAACACCTTACAGGCATCTTGTACTCTTTATTACTGGAAGTTGAATATAAATAGTAATGAAAATGCAGGTAGCTGCTGTTAAATATTCTAATTTCTAATCTAAATAGAATTCCAAAGAAGTATTTGGATGAATGGTGTTGCAAGAATGGAGTGAGTAAATTTTCCATATACATTGTAAATTTATAATTAGCTCTATACGTGTATATTTTGTAATACCAAATAAACAAATTGTTGTAAATGAATGATTTTCCACCACAAAGAGAATACAAAAATATTTTATTTCACTAACATTAATTTGTTTTTAAGTATTCATTTGAAGAACCTATGGTTTGCCAGCAAATATTTGGTCAGTCTGAACATAAGCATATGCCTTGAAAATCAAAGTCCATGTGAAGTAAACCAGATAGTCTTCATGAATGCCCTGCTTCCAAAGAAAAAATGCAGTTGGATTCAAAACTTACAAAATGGTTTGTTAAACAGTTTCTTACTGTAGAATATGAAAATATACAGTTTATATGTGGAAACAGTCATTATATATTTAGTTTACTGTTGCAATTATATTAATAACTTTCCTTTTTAAGATATTTATGATGTTCTTGTGCATCTAATTAAATAAATTGATTTATGTTCTATAATTACCCAGTTAATTCTTTTTACATATAATAAGCTGTTTCCATATTTCTCTATTTTATGTTCTATCCAGCAACTTCTATCCTTGCAACACTATGTGTCACTAGGACAGAATTTCTCATGTACATCCCTATATCTGTACCCCATTTTGCATTTGACTCATTTTCAGAGAGAGTTTTCAAAATATTTCATTATTGTGAGTAAAGCAATTCAATTATGTCCACGTTTTCTGACTTTTGAAATAACTAAATTTTTATTTTCTAATTATTGTACATTAAATTTCATTGAAAGTGGTAATCCTAGAGATTAATACATGTTTGTATTGGTAAAATTTTTGGCATATGTCCTTTTCTCTGTTTGTGCTTTTGTTTACCTGGCAATTTCTCTTTATAGAATACATCAAAATGTTTCTCTTTCTATGCACCTATCCATTTAGCTATTGTCTTAATTCATTTGGATGTCAAGCAACTTCTTGTTGCTCTGCGACAAACTTAGAACAAAAAGTGTACCCATGGCCCATCTCATTTCCAGGTCTCATACCTCATAAATACAAATGTCAAATATATGTAAAAATTAGATGATATGTATTACGTTGTATAACACTGAAAGTATTCATTTTTAGGATTTTCCCTTTCGTCATGGAAAATGAACAATTCACTTGGTCCTCATGAGAAACTCCCGGATATCATGATTTCTAAACTTGATGACCATTTAGGATTACCGAGCTACAGAAAACAATCCAAGTGCAACAGGAGAAGTTCACAGTTCTGGCCAACATTTAATGGATGGAAGGAGGGTATGATTTATAGCTATTACCAAGTTTGATATTGAGTGTGTATTGAGCAATAGCACTAGTTTTTTTTTTCGAACTTGAAATTTGTTCATTTGTATGATTGTATGACTAATTTTCCATCATTTAAACATATAGAAAAATGAAAACAGAGATTTATAAATGTGTTAAGTGTCCATTTACCTACATCACAGTATTGTCAAAATTTTGCCTCAAAACCTTTAATCACATGATTTTTTTCATTTTTCAATGTTTGTTAGTACACTCTGGTTGCATAGTAATTATATCAATTTTGTAGTCATATGCTGAGTGACGTCACAATACGTATACACTTGCCTGACTTTTTAAAATTAAAAATATTCATGTAATTTACAATGTTCGTAGTTCTCTATAAAACCCTAAAATTTACAGATTGCAGATTATCAGGCCTCCCTTACAACCTGGAGAAGAAGACGTCCTGTCAGCTTCACTCTAGCTGTACCTCCATCACCTGCTGTACAGAGGACACAGAGCTACAGACCACAGTCTCCTGGTTCTTACACATCGACTCCTGTCATCTTAAATTGAGTGTCGGCATAGAGGAGTGGAAGACCGACTTCTCTCTTATCAACTTCAACTTTGGTTTGTAGTACATGTTATAGCATTCACATTTTCGTTCCCTGCTTTGGGAGAAAGTTAGACATTAAATCTCATTCATCTGACATATTTTTTATTTGTCAATCTGTCACAAAATCTTTTTTCTTGGTCTTAACTTTTGAATGAGGATAGTGCCTTCATATTTCACATGTAAATTACCTGTGACAATATCTTTCTAAATATACTTCCAAATATACTATGGTTTTCCCCCTGGGACCTTGACCTTGAAATTTGACCTACTTTTCAAACCATTTAACATTGCTTAAAATTGCTCATAATAACTTTTGAAAGAGAAAAGAAGGGGCTTTCATAGTATGCATGTATATTACCTTTGATATGACGATTTTAAATATACTAAACCATTTCGACCTAGACATTGAAGTTTGATCTATCTTTCAAAAATGTTATCTTTCCTTAAAACTTTTGATTGAGAAGAGATAAAACTTTCATTTTTGATATATGCATTACCTGTGAGGTATTGCCGAGCATATGCTTTAATTTCTGATGTTTGAACTTTACTTAATAGTTTACCTTATTTTCAAAATTTTGATTTTAGTGATTACTTTTGAATGACATATAATAGGGCTTTCATATTTGACCCAATATGCCATAAATAATGGCATTCCATCCACTAAGAAACCAATAGTGATCACAAAGATCACAATTCTCTGAATTTCATTGAGATATATAATACATGTATATTCGTGGTTTATCAAAACTGTTTTGAACCATTCTTGATCTGTTTTCCTGCAAATAATTTATCAAACTAAAGGAGTTTAACTAGTTCTGACTAAGTCCGAGTCTGTTTTATTTCTCAACATTGTATCATTTGGAGAAAAAAAATCAATAATAAAAAAAAGAATTTACCAGAATTATATCATGTGAATTCATTTTTGTACAACATGGTTGCATCTTTTCTAGGAGATAATAGAATATACAAGCTTGGTGGGGTTTACAGCATCAGGTAGATATTTCTTATTGGTAGATGATTTTAAAACTTTCAAAATGCATTCAGGCAGATAAAAGATGGTAGTGGTTTTTTCCTCACTATGTACTTGGCTGATAATTTTGAATAATCCATATACATTTGTACTTGTATCTGAAGACATACAGTATTTATGTTTCAGTTATACTCTTTATGACCTGCCTTTCGACTCACACTACATGTTGAGTGTGAATATCAGCATATGCTATGAACCAAATCATTGTATACTGACAGAAAGTATACTTAAGGATATGATGCTACCCAGACCTGTGTGTGACTTTAAAATCACAACATATGATAAACCAGGTAACTTAGTGTATACAGGATTTACCAGCCATTATTACCTTTAATAATTCTTTAATAATTCTTTTTTTGTTCTCATATCGCCGATATATGGCTGAAATATTGCCGATTCGGCGTAAAACATTAATCAATCAATCAATCAATCTTGTTCTCATAGGGGACTTTAAGCAGTATGTGTTGAACAATAGCTTTAAAAGTATGTAAGACTCTTGCTTTGACATATTTTAAATAGGTTTTCTCAATGAATTCAGAAATTCTTGAAATATTTCTCTTGTTTTGATGTATTTTAAAACAGGTTTTTCACTGAATTCCTGGATTACTGAAAGAGAACTCACAGAGTCCTCATTACCAGAGTACAGTATCTCTGAGTTGTATGAAGATCTTGGACTAGCAATGTTTGTGAAAGAAAATTCTTGTAGTAAAAGTACAAACTTCAGTTCTCTAACTAATGGATGGACAAAAGGTAATAATTATAATTTTGCAGCAGGAACATTCGAGTTAAACAACATTTATTGCTAGATAAGGAAAAACGGATGATCCTTTGCTTGCATTAGGCAATTATCAAGAATTAACAGGAATTTTTTGAGTCTTGATAAGAGGGATCAAAAACTGAAATGCATGCATATATTCAAAAGGGGGAAGACTGGGGTTTTATTGTGTGAAAACTACCATAGAGAAACTCTTTATTTTCGTACCATATATAACTTACAATGACTTCAGTGTACATGCCAAGTTTGGGAAAATTCTACTGCCAAGTATTTTTGAGGGACGGTCTTAGAATACAGGTACATTTGCTATAGGATTATGTAGGAAAGTGCCAATTTTTCGCACTTTAAAACAAATTTTACAAATACTACAATAAACGTTTTGCTCAAACCATAATATATATGGATCATACTATGATGTACATAAGAAACGGAAAATTCTACCATCTTGTTTCCAGAAGGACATCTCAAAATACCAAAAGATAATGAATTATCTAGTCTCTATAGAGTACGACAATATATGATGGATACAAAGGATTTATACAAAAATGTAACAAAAATGATGGAGAGATTCTCAGATTTCTATAATTTAAATTTCAAGAGCATATGTTTATTACTTTTCTTTTATGATATTTTTATTACCCCTTTTTTTTTTAGAGCTTCACGTTATCATAACAACAAAAGCACACTCTAACGACGTCAATGTACCTATCAGTTGAAAAATCGTTTTTACAAATAAAATATCTAAAATTTTAATTGAAATTTTCAACCCGTAATTTCTTAATTTTGTCAATTTTTTCAATTAAGTGAAAAAATTGTTTTAAAGCAGTAAACACGCTTTTTTTGACTAGGATGCGCGAAATATTGCGCAATGGAAACCATAGTTGGCCCCCTTAAATTTAACACTCGATCTTTGTTAAGTATGATTTGCCAATATATGTTCATAACTTGTTTATTTATTGATATTTAAGATATCCATTTGAAATGGGTTGATTTCCTTTACAATTTTGTCACAATCATATTGTTCATATGATATGAGCTGTATAAAGATAAATGTTCTTTACATCTGCTCCAGATTGTCCACACCCCATTACAACTGAAGGACTACCACCAGATCTAGCTTGCTACATTCCTAACTCCTGTACTGCAGTGTATTGCTGTGTAAATGCCAGTACTCCATTCCAGACATCACTCTCAGCCTTCCTAGATCTTGATCCTTGTAATAACAGACTACTGATTGGCATAGAGAACTTCATTCACAGCCTCTCACTGTATGATATTCCTTTTGGTAAGTATATAAGTTGATCATCATAAAGTTAAGGCACTATAAATCTCTGCACATGCCTATAGGAATCATCACCATGTCTATCTATCTCAGCTCTTACAAATACTTGAGTTCTTGTAAAGTTTTAACTTAATTACCTACTACTCCCAAAACAGAATTATAATAAATATATAGAAATACATGCATATGCATGTATTTTGACCTCAGTCAATTGTCCCAACACGCTTGTGTCATAAATAACCTAGTGATTTCTGATACCTATGTATGTTTTTCTTAAAGAAAGATACCTAAATACTCAGTACTCTGAGTTTCTCAATGAAGATGACATTAAATGTATTATTCCTATAATAATGATTAAAGCATTGGTATGGAAGTGTAATTTTTACATGTCAAACTTGTGGTCTATAGCTACGTAGTGGCACAGAATATATGAGTAATCAATTACTAGCTGAATTTATGGATGCGTTAGACTTACAAACACCAAATTAAGAAATAAATATCTGTAATTGAAGGAGAAAGATTTGATGAAATGCTACTGTAAACCGATTTGTCTTGATTTTATGCAAACAGAGAATGCATAGAGGAAGTCACAAGTAAAAATGCTAATTTACTTGTGACTTTATTTTCATATTCTCTATTGTAAGATAGTTAATAGAAGGAATACCTTTTACTGTATTTTTTTTATATTTTGCATACACAATATTTGGAAGAAATTCATTTTTCAGCAAGTTCTCGTTGATTTGATAAGCGCCATCTGAATGTGCTAGATGTAAATTTATAAAATACAAGACATTCAGCGATGTACTTGATTTGGGGAATCGGCTTTCGGCCAAAACTAAAGCTCTCTATTTATCTCTATTTTCTTTTGGGTTTTTTTCAGGTCAGGAGAATTTTTATTATCTTAAGAATATTATCAGAATGAGGTAAGTTAAACTAAATTGCAATTTTAAATGTGGTTTATCTTAAAGCTTTTCTGATCAAAATTTGTCCGTTGTCTGTCATTGGCGTTGGTGTCATTGTCGTCGTAAACTTGTCAGATTTTCATCTTCTTCTCAAAAACCACGGGGCCAAATTCAAACAAAGCTGCGACAAAGTATTCTTGGGTAATGGGGATTCAAGTTTGATCTAATGAAGGGCCAAGCCCTCTTCCAAGGGGAGATAATTATGAATTAATAAAAAAAAATACTGGTATCTTTTAAAAATCTTCTCAAGAACTATTGGGCCAGGAGAAATGAAACTCATGTGGAAGCATCCTCAGGTAGTTTAGGTTCATGTTTATCTAAAACCTGTCTCCCGGGGGTAGGGTGGGGCCACAATGGCTGTTCAAAGTTTTACATAGGAATATATGGAAAAAAATCTTTAAAAATGTTGTTCTCCAGAACCATTGAACCAAGAGAGATGGCACTCACGCGGAAGCATCCTCAAGTAGTGTAGATCCAGGTTTGTTCACATCTTGACCCACGAGGTTTGCGTTTGGCCACAATGATGAACAAATTAGTCAAATTGACCTGTAAGCATCTGCAAGAAGTGAGGATTAAAATTTATTCAAAAGGGGTATTAGCGATAGGTCACAGTGGGAGATCAAGTAATATTTGGGGGGAAATCTTTAAAAATCTTCTTTTCAAGTATGGTTGAATTATACATGTATGCTTTATTGATATAGTGACATTCTTATTAAGTAATAGAAAAAATCCAAATACCTCTCCCCCAACTAGTAAACTTTTCAATACTGAGCTGATTTGTGTTTTAGCTCACCTGAGCCGAAGGCTCAAGTGAGCTTTTCTGATCACATTTTGTCCGTCGTCCGTCCGTCTGTAACATTTTCACATTTTCGACTTCTTCTCAAGAACCACTGGGCCAATTTTGACCAAACTTGGTACAAGGCATCCTTGGATGAAGGGGAATTTAAATTGTTAAAATGAAGGGCCAAGTCCCCTCACAAGGGGAGATAATCAAGAAAAGACAAAAATAGGGTGGGGTCATTAAAAAATATTCTTCTCAAGAACCACTGGGCCAGAAGAGCTGAAACTTAATTTGAAGCATCCTGGGGTAGTGTAGATTCTAAATTGTTCAAATCATGACCCCCGGGGGTAGGGCGGGGCCACAATGGGGAATCAAAGTTTTACATAGAAATATATATGAAAATCTTTGAAAAACTTCTTCTCAAGAACCACTTAGCCAGAAAAGCTGAAACTCATGTGCACATGGAAGCATCCTGTGGTAGTGTAGATTTCAAAATGTCTAAATTATGATCATTGGGGTAGGGTTAGGTAGCAATATGTATTAAAGGGGGGAAATCTGGTAAAGAACATAATTGTCAAAGCTTCTCAGGTAAGCGATGTGGCCCATGGGCCTCTTGTTTTTTAACTAGCCCATGTGCTCAAGTGAGCGACATGGCCCATATGCTTCTTGTTTAATGTAATATTAAAATGTGACCATAACTGTTTGCAACAATAAATATAAATATTTGCAACTTTTTAGGTAGTCTAGCTACGTCACTCAGGTGACCTATTTCTGTTGTGCATTGGTCATAAGTTTGTATTCTGTGAGCATTTTTATTTTTATGCCCCCGTAATGGGAGATTTGGGGGTATATGGTCTTTGCTCTTACCGTCCGTCTGTCTGTCTGTTTGTTCGCAAAAACATTTACCTTGCCCATAACGTTTGACAGGCCGGGACTAGGGTTTTCATATTTTACAGATGCATTCCTTATGACTAGACATTTCTTTGGGTACCACCAACTTTGACCTCTTCGCCTTTGAATTTGACCCACATTTACAAAATTATATTAACCCTCAAGGTCAGTACCAGAGCTTTTATATTTTACATGGATATTAATTGTGACAAACCCTTTTGGTGGGTATAAATAATATTGACCTTGACCTGACAGTTTGACCTTTGTAAGAACCTCTAACCTTGAACATAAATTTTAAAGTTTAAACAGTTAATACTTGGACTTTCATATTTCACAGGTATATATTCCGTGCGATAAGACCTTTTTCAGGTTACCACCTTTTGACCTTGACCTTGGATTTTGACTCGCATTTGAAAACTTTAATCTTCAACATAAACTACCAAAGTTTGGCATTTGTGTTTCACAAACACATCTTGTTTCTCAGGCATGACAATTTTACCAATAATAACACACAAGCATTTACAGTTTTACAGTACTTATGGAAATAAACTGTACCTAGTATAAAATATATATTCTACATATATTCATAATATGTTCACCGTTATATATTTGAACAATGCAAACTAAGCAACTATATTATGAAACCACGTCACTGCACATTTTGGTGTTCCTAGTGTATTGACATAAATATTTTTCAAAAAATGCTTAATAAAAATTTGATGCTTTTCAACTTTACAGATATAGGATTTATGATTTAAAAGCAGAGAGAAAATACCAGATCACTCTACATATAAGCTTTTGTTTGGAGTCCAGTGGTTTCTGTAGGATTGAGAGTACAGTTTTTCAACATGCCTTGCTGCCTAAAAAAGTTTGTCAGCTGTACTCTGGATTCGTTACAACTAGTAAGTAGAATATTTTGATGAAATTACTCTCAGGTTTTTTAATTTTCAGACATTATTAATAAGGGGAAATCGGCAATATAGCCTATAAATACAACTGGAAACCCTGTCTAAACAAATTCAAAGATGTGTCAAAATTGGAAGGAAATGAAATTTGCCTAGTTATACCCTTGAAGAGCCAAAAGATGATACATGAATTTGTAATGGAATGCAGAAAAGACTCGTATTCCTCAGAGTTTTTAAAAATGTACATGTATGCAATTCATAACCTTTCAAAACTTCTGCACCATTTCTCAACCAACTATGATTCAATCCAAATCTCTCAGACAGATAATTAATGCTTGTCAGAAATTTGCTCATATAAATGGACACAGAATTTATAGGATTGAAAAATTACTTGGAAAAAGAGGAAAAGTTTTTAGTTTACCTTACATGTATTTGTCAATCATATTTAAAATGGGTTTTGTTCATTGCACACTCAACTATTTTCGTTTTTAAGAAAAAAAAAAGTTGAAAATAATTCTAGCAATATTATTTAGGAGCTATTCCTTTAATAAGTAAGACATTCTTATGAACTTAAAGGGCCATGTTTCAACTGATTTTTTTTTAACTATTTTAATTTTTACAATTCCTAACTAAGGCAATTTTAATGATCAGCAAAAATTTGAACATCATTTGTTTGTTTACAAAGGAGATACATGACTGAGAATTCTTCAAAATGTAAACAAGGCTCGTGCCTTTTTTTCGTTTACATTTAGAAAATATGTTTATAAAAAACGAGATTTAGCAAATCATTAGGACAATTTTAATTGTATTTAGATTAACTTCTTTATTGAAAAAAATTGCTTTGACACACACATATCAGCGTGTTTAACCATGTAAACAAAAACATGGTTCAGGCCTTGTTTACATAATAAAGGTTTGGAGCTCTAAATCTTTTTTGTAACTCGACAACTGAAACTCAAAAAATTGCTGATCACTAGAAATACTTTAGTTCAGTATTTGTAAACACAAAAATGGTATGCAAATTTTTGGCTGAAACTGTGTCCGTGCAGGCCCCTTTAACTGTTTTGGAAAATTACTAGTTTCTATACTTAATATCCAAGCAACTTTCAATAATTAATTGACAGATATTTATCATTGCTGAAGATGTAACTTCTCAAAACTTTTTACAGACTTTTCATTGAGTCACTGGAAATCAGAAATGGGCATTTCAACCTTGACTGAAAGGGAGAGTTATTTACTTCAAGAAGACTTGATGATCGCGCAATATCTAAGAACATACTCTTGTTCCCAGCAGTCAGAAGTATTCATCCCTCATATCAATCACTGGAAAGATGGTAATTTTCTAAGTAATTTGAAATGCAAAGTGGTATTCTTTGATAAAGAAAATCATATTTCTTTAGATATTTTTGTAAGCTAAATTATATACACCCAGATGAAACTTGGTATCACTAAGAAACATTTTCTGTGTTTACATCATACAGATTGTGGAAAGGTTCATGGCATCACCCAGTTCACAGCCTCAGACAAAATCAACTGTTACCTGGCTTCTAACTGTACAACAGTCACATGCTGTATGTTTGACAGTGTGCTATCCAGAAATATAGAAGTCAAACTAAATATTGATTCCTGTAGATTCAGCATGAGAGTGACAATTGAAAAACTAATTTTTGATTTAAGTTTATTGGACATCAAGTGGGGTGAGTTTTAATTTAGTTACAAATGTTAACACAAAAGTCATTTGTTTTTATCATTTGACAATAATGTAATTATTATTGTTATTTTTAAAGGGGATTTTTAATCAAACATTTAATAGGTTCTGTTACATTTCTCCTGTATGAATCTGTGTAACTTACATAATTGGAGATAAAAGTTTCATCTTTTTGAGAAGATTGCTAGATTTAACTTGTATTTTCCAGATTAGAGACCAGGTTAAAGCTTTTGGTGCAGGTCAATAACCAAGAAACTATAAGGCCTATCTGAACCAAATTTGCATGGATGTTGCATAAAGGGATGAACACTTGTTAACTTGCTTTAAATGCTGGATTTGAATAACTTTTTTCCTGTTTGAGTAACTAAGTTCGAAGATTTTTGGATAAGTTCTATCCCAAGTAAAATAAAGTCCTGTCAAATAAAAATGCATAAATGTTGAATCTTGGGATGAAATCAACTAGGCCTAGATTATTAATTAAATGTACTAAAAAAAACATTTGTTGAGGTAAGTTCTGCAATCTCAGAATACCCATGTTTTTTATCTCCATATTTTATTTTTTTTTTATTTTAGGAGAAGAGATTAAGATAGATATGTATGGAGTGTATGATATAAGGTAAATTGAAAATAATCTTTGTTTTCTCATTTAAAATACATGTACAAAAAATGTGTGTATCTATATACAGTTTAAATATATATTATTGAGGGAGCCTGTATGCAAAACATCAGTACCGCAAAAGCAAGCATATATATTTCAAACTATGCTGTTGGATATAGACTTTCTAGAGGGGAACTGGAGTCTTACTGACTATAGCTATATACTATAGCTGTTTTATCATACTGATACAGATTAATAGCTCATGCAGTTCTACTTGTTTTTCTATACACATAACAATTACACGCTATAGAATAAAAAAAAATTTTGGTTTAGCCAAAATGAAAATAAAAAAGAATAATTTAAAAAAAAAAAAGAAGAAATGTCATTTGTTAATGAATCATAAGAAATGAATATATTATGTGCAGTGTATCTGCAAGTAACATTCACAGACAATTTTTACTGTGAAAAGAGTTGCATTTTTTCTCTATATCACTGCCTCTTAAACGCTTCAAATTGTACTCATTTTCCATATTAATTGCATTGACTCTTAAAATATAAGTAACTTTTATTTAACTACATTAAAGATATATTTAATTTCATGTGGAGCACATTAATTAGAAATTTATAAACACGATAAATAAATTCATCATATTAAGGCACCTCTTGGCAAAAAATCAGTCTTATTATACCACTGTAAATGAAGTTGTGGGGGAATATAGTTTTTGTCCTGTCCGTCTATCTGTCTGTCTGTCTGCAAAAACTTTAACGTTGTCAACAACTTTTGACTGGTGGGGCTTTGACTTTTGTATTTCACAGGTGTATTCTTTGTGTACCATCAAATCTTACCTTGGCCTTGGAGTTTGACCCTACTTTTACAAAAATAAACCACAGTTTTACCTTGGCCACACCTTTTGTACAATTTCATCTAAGCCTTTCATACTTAACATGTGTATTTATTGTTATAAGACCTTTCAATGGGTATACATATTTTTGACCTTGACCTTAGAGTTTGACCCACTTTTTAAAATCTTTTACCTTGGCCATAATTTTGAACAGTTAGAACTAGGGTTTTCATAATCACATTTTACAGGTGTATTCCTTGTAACAAGACTTTCCATTGGATGCCAACAATCAGTGTTGCACAGTTACATCTTGCTAACGGAATCGGCAAATTATGTTGATTTTCTCATAAAGAGTGATTAAATCAGTTGAGATATACCGGAATTGTAAATATTTCCTAACTATGCTTACCAGCACCTACTTTTATAAGCTCACCTGAGCTGTCTGTCTATCTGTCTGTCCGTCCATCTGAAAACTTTCTGCTTTTTCAACATCTCAAGAACCACTTGGCCAGTTCTAATCAAACTTGTTAAAAAATATCCTGAAATGAAGGAGGAATAAATATTAAAAGAAAGGGTCAAGTTCTCTGACAAGAAAAGATTAAATAGGGTGCATATGGGGTCATTAAGAATATTCTCAAGAAACACTAGGCTACTAAAGCTGAAATTTATCCTGGGGTGGTATATATTATTGATTTTCTGAATCATGACCCAAGGAGTTAGGGTGGGGTCACAAAAGTTATAAAAAGGGGGTAAATCTTATAAGGACAACATGGCTAAACTTACTCAGGTGAGCGATGTGGCCGATGGGTCTCTTGTTTGATTTCTTGCAGAATGGTGATGCAGAACTTCTACAATGAACACAAGTATCTTCTAAGTATGAACATCAGTCAGTGTTATGAACCAGAAAACTGTGATGTCCATCATGTACTGTTTAAAAATTCAATCATACCTAAAGCTGTCTGTGATTGGTCCATAGAATATCAAATAAAAGGTTTGACAATTATATTTGTTTTTACTTTTCATAGAGAGGTGGAAATTTATGCTTGTAGTTTTATCTTTGAAAACAGAGTTTTGGGGTTTATATAGGAATTACCTTTTCTGTCTATCTGTCCTTCTGTCTTTTAAAGCTTGTCAAAGCTACATATTTTTATAATGAAGAATCGCTGGAAGCTCATATTTAGTACAAAGATTGTTTATAACCAAAAACTGTTCTGGTATTAACCCAAGGACTTTTTTAGAAAGTTCAGTCATTGGCAGTAATAGGATAAGATTCTTGTCATGTGTACATCTTCTTTAGGATTGACGAACATCATTCATAAATAAATTCATAATAGCTGCCACTTTTGTTCAGTTTGAATACCAATTTTTATTTTTGTTCAAGAATTTGCATGTTTACTGTGTTCAATATTTATACTGAATTAAACAAAATATACTTCATTCTCCATATTATTATGATATGAATACCACAGATTTGATACATACTATTAGAAAATGAAATGTAAATATTACTTGGATGTTCTCTTTTTTTGTTAGTTTAAATATTTACATTCTCTGCTTTTCTACTAAGCCAACTGTGAAAATGATTTGAATACCATTTTCGTGTCTACTCACGCGTAGAAATATACACGGAGAAACGTGCGTTAACGTAAATACGTCACAATAAGGCTACACCGTCTTTAGTAAAAGTATTACAATACAGGGCAGCGAGGAATTCAAATATTGAGTATAATTTTGGTGCTTCCAAACATTTAAAATGTAAACATAAAGAATGATTTTAAGTTTAGTGTGAATTATTGGTGTGTGAATCACAGAGTAACTTGTACGTAGGCATATTTTTCTTGAAGTGTTAGCGCGCTTTTTGAAATATGCCTACGTGACAAGTCAGTGTGATTAACACACAAATAACTCACACAAAACCTAAACAACATTCCTTAAATGACAAGATGCAAAAAATACCTGAACAGAATGTGCTGTTTCATGAATTAATTCGAATTGCTTGTTGCATTTTGTTAACATTATATTAAGAAACGCTTTATGCTGAATTCTTTCAGATTTTTTCGCTGAAAAAATTTGAAAATTAAATTTGATAAAACATGAACATTTTAACTTTAACAGACTTTTCACTGCACCGTTGGAAGCTGAATAGAGGCCTTGATACGAGCACAGACGCGATTGAAGATACATACATTCCACAGTTAATGGAAGAACTTGGTATTGCATCATACTCCAAAAAGCCAATGTGTACCATTTCATTTAACAATACATTAAGAAGAATCAATGGCTGGACAACAGGTAAGATAGAAAAGTGAAGGGAAAACATATAACTAGTTACATTATTGTTTCCTAAATAATGTATATAAAGCAGAAATTTTAGTGAGGATTCAATTTTGGCATTTTTAGCAAGGGTGTTGAGATTGCTTAAATCAAATATAACTATTGCTATAAATTCATTCCATATTAACTTTACAATGGTCTTCTATAAACATCATAGAATCATTAAATTCTTACTAAAAGTGAATTTTTGAATGAAAAATTGCTAAAGATGCATCTCGCTTGAAATTCCACTGATTCATTAAAAGAAAACAATTAGTAAATCCATTTGATGCACAAGTAAAAGTATAAACCTATTAGCTTTATTTCATTAAAGACTGTTTTTTTCCTCAAAAGATTGTGCAATGAACATCAGCTTACCCACACTAAATCACAATGTAAACTGTGATCTGCTGTCCTCCTGTACTGGTGTGCGATGTTGTGTGCATGCTTCACTTCTAAAGAGGAACTATGAGATCTTCTTCAGCATTGACCACTGTACCAGTAGCCTCAGTATACAAATTGAACAGGTGTACCATAACCAAACTCTGACTGAACTTCAGTGGGGTATGACTAATCTTTTGTTTTTCATTGTTACAGAAATTTGTAAAATTTCATAGGAAGTAAAACCAAGGAAAAAGTTTCTTCAAGAAAGAACCTGCTTAGAATGTACAAGGAAATCGTGGTTATAAAGAGGAAGGATTTATATTGTCTGTGTGATTTTTTAATTATTGGGTACTACTGTACTGTAAACTCAGCTCTCTTTTTTTTCAAGAATAATCATCCTTCTAATGTTCAAACATAAGGGGAGACGCAGTTTCATTAGAAACTTTTCATTACTTTTCTACCTTACAAAACAAAGTGTTAATGGCATTTCATTTGGTGTTGCATTATATTGTAATTTTTCTGTAATATTTAAACATCAACTTATGAGTTTTCTCTAGGCACAGCATATGAATTCAAGCTGCTAGGCGTTTATAGAATCAGGTAAGTTCAATGTTTTATGAAAGCTGAACACTTCTCATTAATAGGCACCGTCAGACTGTTTATAAAGCCTTCGATTTCCGATTGCACACTCGAAACTCGTGGCCGACATGTAGTATTCCCATCGTGGTTAAAGATTTTTTGCGTTTATTCCTTGTTTTATGTGCATTTTCTGTTTGTAAATAATGTATTGATCAGTATTTTTATCAAACTTTTGTCTTGTTTTTTTTAAAAAATACGTAACATTCGATGATTTTATCGCTACCGAGTAGCACAGCAGTGTAAGATGTACGTCTACACTCGTCGAACCTCTAAAGCGAAATATATTTAACATTTAAGAGATCGGCTCCTTATATGGGGTTGTAGGGAGAGCGTCGATGAACGGGAAAAATTGCGGACTATGCCTTATACAAGTAGTGTTCAGCTTAAATGTACACTTTTTACTGTAAATAAAGTAGGGCTGTAAATGAATAGTGGACTATTAAAGTATCAGTCGAATGGACCAAAAATTGATTAAAACCCCTGTCACAGCGGGACTGCGTCCTCACAGAGATCGAACAGCGTCCAGAAAAAATGCAAAACGCCGAGGTGAGCGCAGTAGAGTCTCCTACAGTGCCGAGACAACGCGATGAGATCTCCACTGAACATGGTAGGGTCTCCAAAAATATTAGGGGACGGCGATCACTTTGGGCATGCACAAAAAGCCCTGTCACACCAAGCTGCGTCCACACGGAGTCATTAAGGCATTGTTGATTTTTTTTAATTCGCCGTGGGATCGCAGGTAAATTGCACAAATTGTGTAAAAATTTTCACAATGTGAAGATGGCACGGCTTTCTCATGGCGTGCTATTGCCTTCCCATGGAGATCTCTTGGCTATTGACTGCCCTTCCGAGGAGTTTTCACGGCGTGATACATGTTGGAGTTTTCATCTCATGTTCAAAGTGTTCTCACTGCGCTGGCTGCGTTCACAATACGCTTACAATGCGCTCTTCACCCATGGATATATTCATGTATTCAGAAGGAGTGTAAAGCATTTTTGTTTAAAGATTCAAGTTACATGATGAAAAGAAATCTATTCATGCCAAGAAATATTCTTAATTAAAGCTATTTGAATAATATAGTACTAATTATTTATTATTTAATTACCGGTATTAAAATCCTTATTTTCAATTTTATCGGTTCAGATGTGTTGTTAAATTCTCTTTGATTTCATTTTGAATGTAACAAAAAAATAATCAAACACTGAAAGTTGCTACAAAATTTATGTAACTCCACCGCAACTCCATGTAACAACAGAACAAGTTCTGGTGCAATTTTCTCTTATCTATTTTACTTAAATGCTCCTAGTCCAATACATACATTAGAATTGCTGATCAAATATGAGGTCAATGCTTTTTGACTTTGTAAATACAAAGATGGTTCTTGAAGTTTTTTACCAACTCTTGAAGAGCTTCGTTCGTTGCTATGTGAAACTATTCTCTTATGACATGGAACAAAAATTCATTTGGTTAATATTAACAATTTTGTGAGCTGACCGATGACGCTCTAACAACGCCTTGAAATCGCATGTAGAAATACCAAGGGAGCACAACAATTGCAGCAACAACTCCGTGTTGTCGTTGTGTAATGCAGTCAAAAAATAACAAGACGATTAATCTCATTAAAAGCGCCGTCAAAGGGTAATAGAAATGAAGTGACAACTCCAAGGACTACAAAACGTCTCCGTGAGGTCTCCATGGAAGCAAAGTCTACTATCGCTACGTTCATGCTGCAATCATTTGCGTCTTCAAGGCGCTCGTACGGAGCTCCCACTGCTTTGTTGGAGATATCACCGCTCTGCTTCGGCAATCATACTACGTTTCTACTGCGATCTTATCAGACGAGACTGATCGAACTTTGTGCATGCCCGAAGTGATCACCGTCCCCTGGCGTTCTGGGAGACCTTATGCGACCCTACTCTACTGCGATCACCTCGTTTTGCATTTTTGCATTTTTTTATGGATGCCGTGTGATTGCCGTGATGACGCAGACCCGATGTGACAGGAGTTAAAGTACGCACCGTGTGATCACGGTCTGAATAGAACACAGCAGAAACGTAGAGTGATTGCTGTAGCGCGTTGAGATCTCGAACAACACAGTGGGAGCTCCGTTCGAGCCCTTTGAAGACGCACATGATCGCAGTATTAATGCAATGATAGTGAACTGCGCTTTCATGGATACCTCAAGGAGACTTTGCGGAGTCCTTGGAGATGTCACTGCATTTTTATTGCGCTTTTACAGCGCTTGTAATGAAATTTTTGACGGCGATTACACAACAACAAGAAGTTGTAACTGCAATCATTGCTTGCCTTTCTACTGCGTCCGTTGGCGATCACAAGGGGCTTTCACAGCATTGTTAGAGCGTTGTCAGCAACTCATATTTGCTCAGCAATAATTCTAATGTATTTGTTGCACTATGAGCATTTAAGTAAAATTGGGAATATAAAATTACACTAGGACCTGTTCTATTGTTTCAATGGAGTTGCGGTGGAATTTACTTAAATTTTGTAGCAACTATTTAGTGTGTTTAGTTTTTTACATTCCTAATGAAATTAGGATAACAACACATCTGAATCGATAAAATTAAAAAATAGAAGGATTTTAAAACTATTAATAATTTAGTACTAAATTATTCAAATAGATCATTATTAATTAAGAATATTTCTTGGCATAAATAGAAGTCTTCTCATCATGTAACTTGAATCTTTAAAGATAAAATGTTTTCCACTCCTCCATGAACGAAGAAGGCATTGTGAACGTATTGTGAACGCAGCAAGCGCAGTGAAAACGCCGTGAACGCGAGGTGAAAATTCCCAACACACTATGAAAACTCCACGAATGCGCAGTCAATCTCCAAGAGATCTCCGTGGGAACGCGAAAATACGCCTTAGAAACACGTGGGTTGCTGTAGGGATCGATGCAGTGCCATCTTCACACTGAGAAAGTTTACAGAAATTTGTGCAAATTCCACGGCTATTCTAAAAATTTAACAACGCCGTAATGACTCCATGTGGACGCAGCTTGATGTGACAGGGCCTTAATGAAATGACATTCGAATGAAAATAATCAAAATAATATATCATGAATAGAAGAGCGAAAACGAGATGGAAATTCTTGTCTTATAATTGAGAAACCATTTTTCCTCAAACAACAGCTAGTAGATAAGATTAATAAATTTTCTTTAAAAACTTCACTAACTAAGCACATGTGGAAAGTACAGTATTTATATAAATTCTTCATTACAGCGATAATTACTTGTCAATGGATACTTTTCTTTCTTTTTTTTCATTATAAATTATGTATCACTTTTCTGGAATATGTAAATTTATTTATTGGATTTTATTGATCTCATACCCTTTACCAATTATATTTTGTAATCTTAAGAATGTTAAAATACATGGAACACACTGTATCATTGTCATTATTTGACATTTCTTTAATGTTGTTTGATTGATTGATTGTATGTTGTTTAACGTTCGTCTCGAGAATTTTTCACTCATATGGAGACGTCACCGTATGCCAGTGAAGTGCTTCAAATTTTGACCCTTACTCGGCACTTAGGGCCATTGAGCAGTGAGGGATCTTGATCGTGTCAACCCCTGCCTTGACATGGAACCTCGGTTTTTAAAGACTCATCCGAAGGACCCGCAATTTTCACTTTAAGTGCCGATGGCAAAGGAACAGCTGCTACCCAGTTTTTAGCTCACCTGAGCTGAAGGCTCAAGTGAGCTTTTCTGATCACATTTTGTCCGGCGTCCGTCTGTCCGTCTGTCCGTCCGTCTGTCTGTAAACTTTTCACATTTTCGACGTCTTCTCAAGAACCGCTGCCACAAAGCATTATTGGGTGAAGGAAATTCAAGTTTTTTCAAATGAAGGGCCAGGCCCTCATTCAAGGGGAGATAATTTGGAATTAATGAAAATTTGGTGGCTTGTTTTAAAAAATCTTCTCAAGAACCACTGTGCCAGGAAAAATGAAACTTATGGGGAAACATCCTCAGGAAGTAGATTTAAGTTTGTTCAAATCATGACCCCAGGGGTAGGGCGTGGCCACAATGGCCGACCAAAGTTTTACATAGAAATATATAGGAAAATTCTTTTAAAATCTTCTTCTCAAGAATAACAAAGCCATAATTGATCATATTTATATGGAAGCATCCTCACGTAGTGTAAATTCAAGTTTGTTCAAATCATGACCCCAGGGGGTAGGCGGGGCCAAAATGGCCGACCAAAGTTTTACATAGAAATATACAGGGCAATTCTTTAAAAATCTTCTTCTCAAGAATAGCAAAGCCATAATTGATCATATTTATATGGAAGCATCCTCAGGTAGTGTAGATTCAAGTTTGTTCAAATCATGACCCCTGGAGGTAGACTGGGGCCACAATGTCAGACCAAAGTTTTACATAGAAATATATAGGAAAATTCTTTAAAAATCTTCTTCTCAAGAATAGCAAAGCCATAATTGATCACATTTATATGGAAGCTTTCTCAGGTAGTGTAGATTCAAGTTTGTTCAAATCATGACCCCCCGGGGTAGCGGGGCCAAAATGACCGACCAAAGTTTTACATAGAAATATATAGGAAAATTCTTTAAAAATCTTCTTCTCAAGAATGACAAAGCTATAATTGATCATATTTATATGGAAGCATCCTCAGGTAGTGTAGATTCAAGTTTGTTCAAATCATGACCCCTGGGGGTAGGGTGGGGCCAAAATGGCCGACGAAAGTTTTACATAGAAATAAATTTTTTTTAAAAATCTTCTCAAGAACAGCAAAGCCAGGATTAGTCATGGGACTACTTTTTGATTTAAACTTTTCAATAATAAACCAATTTCTATTTTTTCCTAGCCACAGTGCTCAGGTGAGCGATGTGACCCATGGGCCTCTTGTATCGACTTAGGTCGGTCGCGGCCGAGATACGAACTCACGACCTCCCGATCACGAAGCGAGTGCTCTACTGACTGAGCTACCGTGAACGGTATTATGTTGTTTGAACAACAACAATTAAACAAGCAATATTAAAATGTTTAACAATATCAAAGACACCTAACGTGTGAAGAGTGCATCCCCCATTTATTTTTGAAAGCATTAAAAAATATTGTTTATGTTCTTATTTGCTTCACTCAAACGAACATAAAACACATTAAATAAACACAAACTTGTAAAGTAGGATGTGAAGCGCTTTGAAAGTGCTGTGTAATTATTTATAAAACTAATACACACATTTTCTTAATGTCCTCATGTATGTATCTCCAAAGTCTACAAAATAAAAAATAATTTTACAATAAAGTATAAATCTATAATATTCAAATCTCGGCAATGGGTGGATGGGTGGGACTTAATTAGACTGCACGTAAAAAAAAACCTTTGAATGGCTTTCTATATACAAAAGTTCTTTCATGGTCACTAATAGATTGTGCTATGAATATTTTTGTCACCTGACTAGGTGACCATCCTAGCTAACAGCAAATAGATGGTGAGAATAAACAAAACACGTGTTTCAACATTAATAAATACCTGCTCCCAAAACTGATTTTGGAATGTTACTGACTGGAAAAATCATACATTTTGAGAGAAACAGATGGTTTTAATTTATTTCATATAAACACGCTAAATAAACATGTTATTCTCACTTTATGCCTGTGAAAAACTTACTAGGTATATGACATCCTCTTTTCCGTACAAATACATCAGGTCAAAAGATTTTACAAATACGACATGTACCAGTGAAGTTTGAAATAGAATTTATTTTGTGAAAATGTTCTGAATATTTCGACTGACATTCGAATTTATGTCATCGAATAGTTGACTAAGTAAAATAGATATTTTGACATCCCTAACAAAGTTTTTTTTTATTGAAATTCAGATTTTATTTTTTGTTCATATTATGTACATGCTATTTTCCACAGGTATATTGTGTATGACCTGCTTGAGGATGATGTTTACCTCCTTTCCTTGGAAGTGTCAGACTGTTATGAATCTAAAAATCCTGAGTGCATGCCAATGGCAACTTTTACTGTGTTCAACAAAGCAGTCATTCCTAAAGCTCAGTGTTCCTGGAATCAAAGTTACAGAATTCAGAGTAAGTAGAATTTATAATTCTATTGTCTTTTGGTGAAAAATTATGTCAAATATGATATAAGAAGCTTTTTATGGTATTTGCCAGTGGCTTAAAGGATATATATCATTATTTGTTTGTTTGTTTTTCTTTTGTGATACCGGTGTATTTATACAAAAGTACTTCCATGAAATATGACATCCTTTTGGCAGCTCCTAGGTTACATAGATCATTAGTCATAATATAAGAAACATGTTTCTACCATTGAGATATTATGACATCCACGCAAGTCTGTTCAGTTGGGACTGTGTCAGATTATTTACTTTGAGTACATAATTATACAACTAGTACATAATAGTAATGAATGTAAGTGAATAGTATATAATACATGTATGTATGAAAGCTCAGTCGCTATCATTTTTGTGTCCTGTTGGAGTCACTTGGCATGGGACCCTAGTTGTATATAACATTTTAATTAATATGTTCCATTTCAGATTTTTCTCTCAAATCATGGCTAACTAAAAATCAACTAGAAAATGCAACTGACCTTCTCACTCATGATTTCAAACTTGTTCAACTGCTGGATGAGCTTTCAATATCACAGTACTTTGAAACATCCATGTGTAGCATATCTAGTCAGAGCTCAAGATTTGGATGGACCACTTGTAAGTTATTTTTCTGCACTGTAATGGATAACCTTAATAAAACTATCATTTTCAAATACAAGAAATCATGATGAAAATATATATCTTTTCTTCAAATTGAAGGTTTACTGCCAATGTGAAAGTATTTGATTTTCACATTTTTTTAGCATGTACCAAGTCTGTATCCAGACCCAGCATCACTGGAGGTCTTTGTCATTTGTCGGAGGATTGTACTTCAACAGAATGCTGCTTTAATGTGGACTTCTTACAACACAATTTCAAAACATTCCTCAGTATTGATCCTTGTAGTAAAGTCCTGTTGGCTGGCATTGAGAAGTTGACAAGAGAAATATCTCTTGTTGATTATAAATATGGTGAATATGTTTATAACACTATAGTACTTTCCCTTTGTGAATATTGTTGATTTTGTTGGATATTTCTACGTACATTGTAACCAAACTTCAAATGAGTTTTTTCTAATTATTTGAAGTTTATCTTATCATTTATATGTATGGCAAATTTATTTGTCAATTGTCATGTTTTAAATTTTCACATTTTAACTTCTGCTGCAGAACAATCAATCTCAAGGGATCATATTTAATCATCTGAAAGTCATCTCCAATATAAATTGGAAAAATAAGAAATTAAATAAAAATTGTTGGTCCACCTCAATGTATCCTAGTTAGAGTTAACTTGCATGTACAATGCATCTGAGCATGCTTGCTACCAGATTTGCTTCAGATGTTCATGCATCTCTCAGGGGGCCATCCAAAAAAATGAAAATCAATCCTATCCAGCCAAACTTGTAATGTTGTTCGATGTAGAAATGTTAGAATACACACTACCAGAACATTCAGTTCATATAGTGTAAGTCTGATTTTAATTATTGTCTAAAGTAACATGGGAATATGTACTTACCTTTTGAAGTAATATTTATTAATCTTGGACCTAAAAGTTTCTGCTCATTGTTGATGTTTGAATGCATCATTAATCAGATAATATATAAAAGTGATTAGAGGAAATAGGACTATTTATGTAGTTAATAAATAAATAGAGATTGATAACTTTCATTATTATTTTCTGCAGGCAAAGTTGAAAACCTATGGCTTAGCGGGGTTAGCAGATTAGAGTAAGTTCATTGTTTTCTTTAATTGCATTGTGAAAAATGAGATTGGACAAATTTTTTTATGATTGAAAGCAATAAGAAATCTTTATATGACACAATTTTGCATTTGAACAATGGATGTCATAATCTTAAATATTTTGAAAAGATCACCGTCATGACAAGTATTTAAATAGCTGTTCAATGATACGAAGTTCTTTGTGTATTTTGTAGTATGCTAATATTTAGTTATTATCTACCTCATTGAAAAAAAAACATATGATTTGGAAAAATAAAACTTTTCATATGGATATACATTTTTTTGCAGTTTTATGTTGGAGGACCTTTATGGAGAGCGTCTTTATCTTGTGAACATGAATGTTAGTTTTTGCTTTGAGTCTGCTGGAGAATGCTACAAAAGTATTGCAGTGTTTAAAGACACACTCCTTCCCAAACGGATATGTCCATGGGATCAAAGTCAAGGTAAGGGAATTTTATTCAAAAACAACAAAAAGAGTTCAGTGATTCGATCCTACTACGAGGCCTGTAAAGTTGCTGTCTGGTGTCATTATTTTCTAGAGACAGGTTGTATAAATTTGTGATCCCCAACCATCAGTGAATTAATTACCCTTCTTCAATGTTCAGGTATTGCAAAAAATACAAAAAAATGGCATGTAGGCTTGAGCGTTTTATCCATGTACCAGGGATTTAAAGGGGTGGTCTGAAAGATATAATAATATGCTTGTGAAATTCCTCCAAAATTTGATCGGTTGTCAAAGGGTTCATTTTGCACATATAATTTGCATGTTACATGCATGTACAATATTTAGAGATCCAATAAGAATCCAAAATCTTGATTTATGGCTCATTAGCTCAACAAGTGAACATTTGTGTGTTAAAAACTGTACATTTTGTGATTTAATGAATTTATTTTGTTTAAATTTGCAATAAGATTATCCTATATTATCAGGAATAGTTTTGGAGCAGTTTTATTTATTATTAACCAGAACTATTACCCATATCTTTTATGCAACATATTGTTACAATATTGTATTAAGCTCAAATATTATGATTTGATTTTGATGCTGCACTAAGTGTATTCTGAAGTTAGGAGAAATTCTACATGTTTGAAGCTATGGAAGCCTGCGATGCTGATAACTCATGAAATGGATGCTGCCTGTGACCTTTATTTTCCAGATCAATGATTACTTTTCAAATTTCTGAAAGAGATTGATTACCTAGTGATTACAAGCTCAACAATGACTAAACTTGCAAAGTGTTGCTTGGAAAATATACAGCAAATCATTTTTAGAAACACTAGAATGAGGTACTTTGTGTCATAACAACAAAAATTCTCCATAATGAAGTTTGAAACTGGTTATCTTTGTAGCCCATAGGCCACAAATAGTGAATGTCCATGAAGCATAAACTAGTATTTGCTATTTTCAGTTATTTTGCACAATAAAGATCTTAATTTGAAATGGAAGTTTTGTTAGATAATGTAATCTTTTTGAAGGCTTTTCATTGAGTGACTGGAAGAGAAAATATGATATTCCATTTGGACCTTTGGATAATTGGACAAAATCCCTACTGTTGGAATACTTAGACATTGCACAGTATAGAGATTCCAATGAATGTAAAAGAGGAGAAGGATTTTATACATTCACCTTTTATAACTACAGAGACACGGGCTTTAATCAAAATGCTTCAATTATTTCCCAATGTAAGTCTGGAATTTTGGAATAAAAGTTAGAACTTTAAAGACAATATTCCTGTACATTTATAAACTTTAATCATGTCAGGAAATATCAGGATATCTAACATCTTACAAAAAATAATTCAGTTTTTCCAGTCTTCAGAATTAATTTATTGAGCGTTAGTATGAATATACATTATGTAAACATCTTTTACATAAATGAGAATTATTTTTCAGTGTGTCAGTTGGCTGTAGATCTAGAAAACAACCCATTGACAATAGAGTCCGCCAGACGAGTCACCTGTTATGTACCCAGCCTCTGTACTGCTGTAGACTGTTGTGTAGATGTCCCCTCACTGGACATGTCATTCCATACCTACATCTCCATTGATCCTTGTCAGTATACGCTCAGAATAGGGATAGAGAAGTACAGCTTTCAGAGGTCACTGGATCAGTTGAGATTTGGTACGTTATTGATACAAATAATAGAACTGCGTGATGCAGGTTTTGAATTCTTATGATTACTGATATTCCTGTCTGTATTTTAGGATATTTTCTTTAACAAAGTATATAATATGATTGTAGGTCAAGAAGAAGTATTTACTTTAGCTGGAATTGTAAAGATGATGTAAGCCATGACCTAAACATTTTGAAATTCAATCTTCACCATTTTCATTTTCACAGTGATATTATAATATTTAATATTTAATTTGCTAAACTGAAAAACGGTTTAAAATTTATAATTATGATACTTTAAGGTAGTTTTATGAAATTTAATGTGTGAATTCCAAAGTTGGCTCAAGTATTTGCATGTTTTGGGGGGATCCCTTCCATTCCTGCATTATGATCGAGTGTTCGTCGTTGTTATTGAAAACATTTCTATTTATTGTTCCAAATTAATAGCTACAAAATAGAGGACTTGCCAGCAGAGAAGTTGTATGTTATGACAGTGAAGCTGAGTGTTTGTACAGAGACTTCAGGATGTGAAGCCAATCATACAATATTTAACAACATGCTGCTCCCTAAACAACCATGTCAATGGAATGAGGGATTTGTTAACATGAGTAATCTTGTATAGTTTCTAGTTTCATGATAAAAAATGATGAAATTCATGGTTCAAAAATTTCAACCCCTCCCCCAGAAAGTGATTTCTAGGAAAAAATTGTTGTTTTAACCCTTATGATTAATTTAGATTTCTCTGGTTCTGCCTGGATGACTAACAATGGCTACACCACTCCCCTCTCTGAGTCCCAGTCTGCAGAGCTGATGAAGGAGATTAAGGCTGCACCCTACCTACTGGCTGATTCCTGTGACCCAGACTCTGGAGTTTACTCATCTCCAGTTAGTGGCTGGAATAATTGTAAGCATGTAAATCCACACCTTACTCTGACAGCAAATGACTAGTTTCTTTAATTTTCAGTGTAATAGGGTCATTTTTCTATTTAATGTCAATGTTTGTCATTTATATTGTTCACTATGTTCATAATACTTTAGACTGTCCTAAAGAAATGTCGTTAACCAATTTGACTGGAAGTTCAGTAACTTGTCACATTCCGTACCTATGTAATGAGATACAGTGTTGTGTGAGAGCTGAGAGCATCAGAAGGAGTTTCCAGGTTGTAGTCAGTCTTGATCCCTGCTCCCAGATCATGCTCATCAAACTAGAGAGGATGACCATCAAAGTTGATCTTCTGAATTTTCAGTTTGGTATGTAGGCCTATATTGTAAAAAGAGAGAAAAAGTGATGTAGTTCTTGTTGAAACGTGTAGATCTTGATCAAAGTATCTTAAAAATATAATTTTTGCAGGCAAAACCCAACAGTACAGTCTGGTGGGGTTTCTTAGAGCTGAGTAAGTTAAACAAGAATTATTAGGCCGTGTGAATCTCTTGTATTGAAAACAGATTTTATGAAAATAAATATTTGATTTACTTTTCAGTTTGAAACTGTTTGACTTGCCTTATCAGAAGCAATATGTGATAAGTCTTGAACTGAGTGTCTGTTTAGAGAGCAGTGGAACTTGTAACTTGGTATCAACTGCACTAGACAATTCTCTACTGCCAAAGACTGAATGTGATTGGTCCTTGGAACTTGAAGGTGATGGGATATTTTTAAAGTCTGTATTTTTAAGATTTATAGGTCTGATTATAACCCATCTTTACCCTTGTGCTAACACTTTCTATTATCTCAACAGGATTTTCTTTACAAAATTGGCTTGCTACAAATGGTGAAAGCATTGGAACTGTCTCATTACCTGAACATGTACAGTACATGCTACTGGAGGAGAGAGGTATAGCTAACATGATGAAGGATACACCCTGTAGTAGGACAGGTGGCACCATGTATAACTCATCTACTCCAGTCAATGGATGGCTGACAGGTTTAAAACAAATTTTAAAAAAAATCCTATTCCTTATATGTTTTCAACGATGTATGCATGTAGTGTTGAAGTGGAATCTGTTTGTTTTTTTACAGACTGCACTTCATTAACATCAAACCTGACAGAGTTGCCTTCAGAAATCACTTGCTATTATCATGGCTCCTGTGCTGCAGTCAGCTGCTGTATGGACATTGTGAAGTTTGACAACAGATCTGTAGAAGTGTCTATCATCTTTGATGAGTGTGCCAACTTCCTGACACTGACAATAGAGAGGATATCTCAGACAGTTTATTTGCATAATTTCTCCTATGGTAGGTGTCTGAAAAAGAAATAAATAACTGTTTTGAATCATGGGTAGTGTTTACCTTGTAATGTATTAAAATCATGGTATGTACATGTAAGCTATCACTTTTGTCATTTGTTATGTATTTTGCTGTAATTTATTTTATATATCTGAAGAAAAAGTTTAAATAGACAAGCACTTTTAACTTTTTAAAAAATGCCACCTTTATGTTAATTCTAACAATGGTATGAATCTTTTTAGGCATAGAACAGAAACTAACTCTTAAAGGAATTTTTCAACTGAGGTCAGCTTAATTTTGTATTTCTTTATTAATTTTGAAAAATGCTACAGATTGTGTGGTACCTAGACAAAAAAGTAACACAAAAAGCCTATTAATGGCAGTGGAGAAAATCAAGTGAAAATATTAATAATGTTTTAGTATATTGATTGTAATTTGCTTTAAAAAATATATTTTCTAATAAGATTATTTTTGTGGTAGATACACAGTAACACAGAATATGTATACTCGGAAATATGAGTTTAAAGTGGATATAATGGCATGCTATGAACCATTATATTGTGACCAAGTGGTAACCATTCTAAACCAGGTATCATTTGACATGAAAGACTGCACTTATCAGGAGGGATTTCTGAATTCCAGTAAGATTTAAACTGCCATTTTGGGCAAGAGCCAGGTTGGGCCTTATTTGGCTCTGAGAATTTCTGAAAAATCAAAACCGCTCAGTTTAGGTTGCAAATGCAGTATTTATCACTTGGAGTGTTGGTGACCACGTATCTATTAATTATGACGTAATTTCCCATCTAGTCAATGCATTATGACGTCATAAAATGCGTCATTTTCCTCATATCCTGTAAATTCCGTTGAAAATGTCCTAAATTTGAAGCATTTTTTCAACATTTCATATAGAGCACAACCTCTGATCCAAAATATGCAAATACATAATGAAAGCTCTGTTTCTGAAGTTCAAAAACCATGTTTTATTTTTTGGATCGTGGGCTGTGCTCATATTTTTATTCTTTGGTAAAGTTAGTCAGATAAGCATGTTTTCTGCAAATTCCAAGAACATTGCAATTTCTCAAACCTGTTTTCCAATATCTGGATTCTCAAAACGAATTTTTTTATGGAAAATGAAAGCACAAAGTGTCTACTTTATTTTGATATATGAAATGCGAAAGAGGGTGATAGGAAATTAATTGATATAAGTACAGGGTCATTTTATGCATAAGATGGCTCTTGCTCATTGAAAGTGATGAAAAAGTTGTGAAGTTTAATTTACATTTTTTCTATTGCACATTTGCCTCTGTACTTTCAACAATCAATATAAACACAACAAAGTTTTTCTTAGTATTTCCAACTGTTCTTGATTTTTATTTTAGACAAACTTTTAAATTTAAGTTAATTTAAATTAAAAAAAAAGGTCAAGTTCTTGGTAAGGAGACCTTTGTCTTTTTTAAATTAGAATAAACCTACATGTTGTTGTTTACAGGCTTTTCCCTCAGTGCATGGCTGGCTTCCCGTGCTATACCCAGTGTAGATGACATGACTGTACCCCAGGCCAGTGATCTCCTAACAGAACTAGGACTGGACCACTTCCTGGATTCTACAGACAGGTGCCTTCTGTCTGACACAGTGTATGGAGCAGCAGCAGGGAATGGTTGGAATAATGGTAAGAACCTCAAATACATTTACTTTGACTATTTTTATAATAACAGGTAAAAGTTACATTATTACATATGTATATGTAACTCTTAATAGGATTACTTAAAAGATAGAACTATTCTTTCATCATATTTTATTGAAGCTCAACCTATAGATCAAGGAAAATTTCTCTCTCTCTCTTTTGCAATAAAGATGTACCTCGGGCAGGACATTCATGTCTTTTGAACATATTTCTAGTTCTTTAAGAATTTTAAATTTCTGAAACAGAATGTGAAAAATATCCAAACTACACCCTACCATCCATCTCAAACAAAGTAGTTGTTTGTCATATACCCTCAACATGTGACAGAGTGTCATGCTGTGTCTACATTGCTCCAGTTCAAAGACATACTGAAGTTAAACTTCTAGTTAACACATGCAGTTACCAGATGGAGGCCTTGATAGATAACCTGAAAATCAGTCGTAACTTGTTCACATACACATGGGGTAAGTGTTCTTTATACAGTATATACTGCTGACAGTTAATTTATATTCAGAGTGATTTTAAATTTAATGTTGTTTTACATGTAGGCACAATGGAGAAAATTGGAATTCATGGAGTTATTAGATTTGGGTAAGCTGAACTTCATTTACTCAAAAAGTTAATCCTAATTCTACAGCTGCACTTTAATTGAATTAAGGTGTTAAATGATCTTATTTGGTAGGTTTCATGTCACAAATGTGGTAACTGAGAAGAAAATCAACGTTGATGGGAATATCTCATTGTGCTTTGAACAAAGCAGCTGTACTGATGTACTGACCTTCCATGACCTGCAAACCAGCTATGTCCAATGTAATGTTAGCAGCGGTGAGGCAGCATTTGATGGTTAGTATTAATTTTTAAATACCATACGAATAATACATGTACTATATTTCAGTAGTATTCGTCACCTTTACATCACACTTCACATCTTAATTAATCATTATAACAAGAGACAAACTTTGTGATGTCTTTTAAAATATGTTCTGAAAAAATAAAAAAAAAATATTTTATTGAACATTATATTTAAAATATAAGATACACTACTATGCTTATGTATAATTGAGTTATAATGTGCAATTTTATCTTTCCTCAGTCTGAGAGTCTGGGTTTCATATTTGCTCCAACCCAACCCAACCCTTTACCCTTTCAACTGTCTTCAATATATCAAAATATAAAGTTGTGCAGCTGCCTGTAGCCATAATAATCAAACTAAGAAATTGATAAAGTAGTTTCATTGAATTTGAAATTACAACGGAGTGTTTAGGTAGCTTTCAATACCTGTTTCACTGTCTTGCATGAATGTTAAAAATGTTTGACACTTTTATGAATGGCATTAAACTCTCTTTGCCCTCTCGTGTTCTTAAAAACAAATACATACAAATATTTCTAAGCGGCACGACTTTGACAAAATGATACAAAACCTGCCAATGTTTTCCCGTGAGCACCTTAGAGGAATGTTTACCTGGGTAGAACTCACGTGACTATAAGTATTTTTGATAATTTATTCAACATGTGTCAGAATGGGTCATACAGGTAAATAGTTTTCACTTGCTATAGGGAAAACATTGTACTTCTTGGAACATTTTAAATATTTTAAGTAAAAGCCTAATCGTGTACAAATTTCTTACTTTCACACAAGTTTTATAAATGTATTATGCTTTTTTTGTCATTCGCAAAACTTTGTACAAAGTTGGGCTCGTAGTAAACAAAAGCTTTGAAATGAATGACCGTTCTCGCTATAGAAAATCACAAATGTCGGCTGACCCCTGCCACATTCTATGGTTTTGTTCTTTGTATATTCGTGAATTTCAGCGGTAAAATTTGTTGAATCGTACGGTTTAGATTTTTATTATTTATTTGGTATGAAAAATTTTGCTTAACTTGATTGTTTATTTTTTCCCATTTTACCAGTGCCAATAAGTGCACTCGTTCTTTTTACCACTTCAATGCCCTTCATTGTATGTGACAATTTTCAAGGATTTTTTGCACTCTCTAAGGCATGCTGCTAATTTACCCAATAGAATAGAAGGAGAAAAAAATGTACATGTAGAATACTCTTTTATATTGAGAGCTATGCTGGGATTACAAGAGGTTGCAGGAGTTAGGATTTTGTAGGAAAGCCTTTTTTTTATCCCAGAATAACAGGTTCGTAGTCATGTTGATATGTCAGCATCCCAGAATAACATGTATTTAAAATTGTTCAGATAGGATATAGCTGGGCTACGACTGTGGTTCAAAGTTTGACAGTAGTATAGAATTCTTCAGTAATAAGTACAGTTGTATAAACAAAAGGTATACATGTACATTTAGGCACACTAATATTCAATCATGCTTATCTAAGGGATATTCAAGTCTGTTCAAAATTTGCCTTTGGGCTAGTTTTGGGACATAATGCAGGGAACATTAATTTACTTAGGAATAAGGAGAGAAATCTGTGTTTAAAATCTTAGAATGGTACTATGCTGGCATGGATTTGATCTTGGTAATATCTGAAATCTTTAAAATTCTCTCAAGCAGGGCCAGTATATAAATTGGTAAGTCTTGCTGCCATGAGTCGTTTTCTATGATCATCAAATAGGACATTCATACGTGTATACTGTAATTCCTAACAGTCTAAATATGAAACAGGTTATATGTAGGTGCATGGTATAAAATTGATGAAACTTAAATTGTGACATGATAAAATCAATTTTTAAGCAAATATACAAAAAAGAAATTCATTGTACCGGTAACTATTTTTCATACAATTAATCTGTTCATACTTTATAAACAAATATACTTTTTTTCCTTAAAGGAATCAGTTTTGACTTTTGGAGGCAAACACAGTGTGGTGCTTTGACATTCAATTCAGGAGGTAAAATACATTATACAATTATTTAATATCTGAGCAGTCAATAGACCAGAATATTTTTCCGAGGTGCAGGGAACAGCTCAGTGTGTTCTATTGCCCGAGGCTTCACCTAAGTATTAAGAATAAAATTAAAATTTTGTTAAAGTGTAAGGATGTGTCAATCAAACCCGTCTAAAAATTTGAAGTTTTAATAACTTTTAGATGAAATAAGATTTGTAATATATTTTTGTGTGAAATACTATTAAAATTATAAGTCGCAATATTATACAGAAAATATTAACTTCAAATCTGTGTCCATGCATGCACCTTTTGAAAAGGATTTTTTTTAAAACTATATCTCTAATCAACAAATTCATTTTTAACCATTTTTTGATTTATACTAAGTATGCAATGTAATGATCAAAGTGATACTTGCAGTGTGTGATGCTACAAAGATAGAGGGTATTCCGTTAGAGATGCAGAAATACTGCTCATATCTACCAGACTGCAATGGATTAGAATGCTGCTTTGAGAATGAATTTGATCTTGGCAACAGAAGTATCTATTTTATGGTAAAACTGGATTGTGGCCAATTTGAATTCCAGGTTGAGAACAAAATAGTGCAGAAATCCTTGTCAGCCCTTGATAATGGTAAGTACACTGTATTTCTAAAGTTTGAAGTGTTTAATTGAACAATTTATAGCTATTGTCCCCTTCCCCTTTGAAAAGAGGGCTGGGTAATTATCTCTAATTAAACGTTGATTGAGCCGTTCGAAGGACTTGCAAATAAATTACATAAGCTTTCCTCCATTGTTTTAAGGAGAATTAAACATGGAAACTATTGGAAATCCTGTTGCATTTCAAGTCAACTATACAATAATTAAGAATGGTGCTAACTATGCTGTTGGAGTTGTGTTAATGGTTCGAAAAACGTCAACTGATGGATCGACAGGAATTGATGTTTACAGCATCTTGGATGTAAACACAACCCGAATAAATCCACAAGGGTGTGTTTTGGGCAGGAGAAAAAGGAGGAGACGATCCGTTGATTTGTCAAAGTATGTAAATTTTTAGGCATTATTAAATTTAGATAGTGAAGATTGATATAATAATGAATAATTGTTTTAGGGGTTACAAAGTTTTACACTGGAATATTTATAATTAAAAATGTGAAAGGTCATCTTTAGGTCAGCCCAGCTATGATTAGTTATAAATAAATATTAGCTTCCCTATGTAAATAAAGGTATTTTGAGTCAAGGCGTCAGGTAAGATTAGCTTAAAAATCAAAAAAGTGTATATTACAGATTAGACCCAGAAAAGCTTCAAGAAGGAATAAGGGCTCTTCTTGTAAATAATGCTCCAAATGATGACTTTGAAGAATTCTGGCAAAAGATTATTGCAGAGGATGTGAGTTAATCAGTTATGTCATTGTTTACTAAAACACTCAAGCTCGTCTTGATTGACCACTTCAATAATCTATTTAATAAATGTTATATATTTAAAATAAATGTATTAAGCATTCATTTGTATGACACAGTGAAATAATTTTCTTCCCATATTTCATAAAATCCTTTTAAATATTATATTAGACAAATTGCTTTACATTTTTCGTCAGTACTCATTTCTTTTTGCATAAATAATTTTCCAAGATGTAGATGATTTTAGTCCGAATTGAAGTCTTCCTATTTCTGTCCTCCTGCCCAATGTGAGCAGTAAAAATTTAAGCTTTCTCTGGATTTTTCAGGGAAGAAATATTAATTGGAATAGTTTTTTTCACTGACTTTGTTGACTTTTTGGCTTTAAATGAAAGTGGCATATATGTCCATCAGTTTCCACTAGAAGTACTCAAAAAAGAGGACATAGAACTTTAGAAATATTTTTTCCAAAAGAATCTTAAGGGAGAGAAATTAAATGATATATTGTACAGAAACTTGAAAAGGCAAAGAATTTGGCAGCTACACTTTTGTCAAGTGATGATGTGACAACTGGGATTAAGGCTCAAGTACAAGCTTTAGGATCTGGTAATCCATTCACCATTAAAACTACAGAGGACAACTCTCAGGCTGTTACTGTTCAAGGAGGTGAGCATAAATCTGACAAGTTTCCGTCTTTAATCACTGCTTGATACATGTACTGTAACAACTTTAACATTACAGTATTCCATGCTTATAACATAGTGCAGGGGGGACAATTTTAATATTTAGCTCATCTCATCAAAGTTGGGTCAGCATCCCTGGTCAAAGTTTTTTTCAGTAGATTTTTATTACCACCCCCCCCCATCCCGGCATGGTAGTGCGGTACCCCTCTCTTATCCGCAACTCTTCTTAAATAATAATAAATAAATAAATGAAATTTAATGAAACTTACACAGATTCTTTGTTATATAGTGCCATTGTTCACCTTTTATTTTACTTCTTGATTGGAAACATTTTTCGGGTTTCTCATATCAAAACATTGACACTGCCATTTTTCTATAATATTTAAGGGTACTCATCTCATATCCAGATCTCTTCCTACACCACTGTACAAAATTAAATGATAATTTCACAGATTTTTTTATCTCATCATGCCATTGTGCTCATGCATCATGGTTTTTGCATTATAATTATTTGGAAGGTGGGGGATTTTATTTAGCTCACTGCTCACAGTACTTCTAGTACTTTTATACCCAACATTAATCCGGGATGCATGAAAGATGCTTTTTGTATAACAGGGAATTAATTTAAACAATGAAATGCTTTCTTTGTTTGTTATTACTAGAATTA